CATCCCATATTCTTTGTCGCTTTTCAAAATCACAAGATTACAAAATGCTTTAACAACAAAACAAGCATCTGAAAAGACAGTCAGCTAAAGATCAACAGAACCAGATAAAAATAATAAAAACAAATCAATAAATAGAAAAGCTGGTAATTCTGTGCAGACTCTTCAGAGAAACTATCTCTGAGCAGAAGCTGGTTGTACATTATCCATCTTATAAAGCTGTATGAGGTGTATTTTTTTATTCAATATTTAATGTTTGCTGAACAATGTTTGTTCTTTAGGTGGAGCATAACACGAACAGAGCGGTAATTATTGATCTGGGACTGGCCAAGTTCTTCAGACGTGGTCTAAACTCTGCAACGGACATGGGGAACGAGGCTTACTCGGCTCCTGAGGTGCTGCAGAGGGGTAGCCAGAGAGATCAGCGTTCAGACGTCTGGGCCATGGGAAAAATCATAGCTGAGTTCTGTGCCCGGATTCGTCTGTTCACACCCAGCGTCTCTCCTGAGAAAATCAAGGATGTTTTAAAGGACCAACCATACTGCCCTGCTGTGTGTAGGATGGTGGAGCAGAACCCATCTCTGAGGGCCTCTATGGGCGGGGTCATTAGTGATATTCGAAGAGCTGCAGGAAAGGGCATTGTCACCAACACACCCATTCAAAAAGAGCTTCTTAAACCACCTACACCTCACATTAATGCCAGAAACCCGTCTCCATCACCTCCGAACAGAGATGCACATCTGCCAATCAGGGACCCATCACCAATCAATCGAGCTGCATCTCCGCTAATCAGGGACTTATCACCGATAAACCGAGGTGTTTCTCCACTTAACAGGGATCCATCACCGTTAAACAAGTTTGACAACAGGGATCCATCACCGTTAAACAAGTTTGACATACATCAGTCACCTATGAATAAGCCTACAGGGCGGATATTTGAACGTTCTCCTAGACCAGAGATAAAACCTTTGCCTCGAACTGGAGTGCACCTTCCTCCTTCCCCGCAGAGGCCAGAGGACAAGAACAAAAATCTCAATCTGTCGCCGAAAGGGGGATTAGAACTCGCACAGGACCTCGTGAAAATGAAGTTGTTACAAGAAGCTGCCAAGGATCTTCCCTGCAACCTGCCAACAACAGGGAGGGTGGTGGTGCGGCGTTTTGAGGAGAAAAACGGGGAAATGGGTTCATGGGAGCAGACCGAGGTGGTGACTCGTGATGGAAAGATAGTCAAGTTTGATGATGTCAAGTTTAACAGCAAATGAGAGTATCTGGGAGAGTTACAAAATAGTTGTATGTTCACTCAGCTTAAAGAGTAGACTGAGTTTAGGTGCAGTAGACATTGCATGGAATGTAGCAGGATATAATTTTTTTTTAAGGAATTGATTAGTTTTGAGTTATTTCCAAATGAAAACTTTCCATTAGCGCATGCTTAGTTCCAAATTTATTTATAAAAATATCTATTTCAAATGCAAACCTAGATGTGATGGATTTTGGTATGCATTATGCTCACTGTGAGCTCTGTGAGTGAGACTTGTAATGAGATTATCTCCAATTGAAAAACTGATAGTTATATATATTTTCTGTTGGCTAAAATGTGCAATGGTGATTACATATGAAATGTGTTTTGATAGTTTTGGTTAAATAAATGACTGTGAGAAATTAAGGGCAGGGAAAGTGGGTGTGGTATACAGAATGGGTCTGTGGTGTATTGTCTACTTAATATGTCTGCTGTTTTTTTTTTAACTAGTGATCTAATCGTTAAGCTGTACTGTGCATCAGAATCTCCTGTGTCTGATAATCTTTTTTTTTTGTTGTTGTTTTTTTTAAATGACTGTAAAGTAAGACAAATAAATCCAGCAATCTTTATCTTTGAGTTGCTGGAACCAACAAGTTATTTGTTGCTGGGTTAATTTGATGCTATTGTGTTGCAGAAGTTCTTGCTACACTGCTCTTTACACTTCAAAGTGAACAAAGGTGATGTGTTAGTCCACACCCCGTTTACAAGAACAAGAAGAACCTGGTTTAATTTTTTTGTAATTACTCTTGCAGTAATAAAGTACATCTTCCAATCTCATGTAGTTGTACACATCAGCATTAAAGTTGCTTTTATTGTTTATATGTGCTCTTAGCAGTCTGTGTGGATTTTTTTTCACAGCTTGAAGGGGAAAGCTCTGAGTTGAGACTGATTTACTGTCACTGTTGGGACCATTTCACATTTGGCTTCCTCCTTGAAACTGTGGCACTGTTTAGATGACCACCTGTAAAGGATCAGTGATTTGAGGTTAAATATAAACTTAGGTCAACAACTGCCGTTTGGTTTCAGTTGTTTCTACATCTGTTAACACTGCAGTCCATCTTAGCCACATGGATCAAGGAAGTGGGTTGTGTGGTTTCCTTGTAAAGCTGAGCAACTGACAACTTTTATTTATGTAGAATGTCATGTGAATTAGCAATGCTTCGTGAAGAATTACACAAGTTGTATTAAGTCCTGGTTCTGTAAGTCGTGTGTTTTTAAATATAGCATTAAATGCATATTTGTATTGTTGCCTCTTAGCTCCATTTGAGATAATGATGTGGTGCAAGATGTGGGTGAGTTAAACAAAGTTAGGTTTGGTATTATTATCACATTTATTATAATTTTAAGATTTTCTGTTAACTCACTTCAAATGTAATTTTTTTCACAAGCACACCACAGACTGGATTAGTATGGACATGCACTCTGTATCGGTGACTGCTTTGGCAGCCACATGAGGTTATAGTATGCCCTCTTTTGGATATTTGGATAAGTGCATTTGTCTGTTTTAGTAGTAACCGATGACAGGAAGAGACTGTTAATGATTTTTGACTATAAGGTGATTGTGTCTTACTATTTTCAATTAAAATAATCATTGCATGTCTTAAAGTACATAATACTGCCTATAAAATATTTTCAGGTAGAAATGTGATGCAAAGACAATCCACTCTAGAGACACGTTTGTTCAAATGTGGAAGGCTTTGTTTATATAT